TTTATTCTTATAGATTGGCACTAAAATACTCTTCCTCCACTCATCTGGCATGTTCCTAGTCAACAAAATTTTGCTAAACAACCTAGTCAACCAACCAACTCCCTTTTTACCCAAACACTTCCAAGCTTCAATAGGGATATCATCGGGTCCTAAAGCCTTATTTGATTTTATCTTCTGAAGTGCAATTTCCACTTCAAAGTTCTTAATCCTTCAATAGAATCTATAGTCTTGGTTTATCGTATTACTGGCTATTTCTTCCCTTATTGTCGTACCTCCATGTTCCTCATTTAATAGTTTCTCAAAATAATTCTTCCATCTTTCCTTAATCTCATCATCCTTTACCAATACCTTAGAATCCTCACTCTTGATGCACTTTACTTGATTAAAATCTCTTGTTTTCCTCTCCCGTATCTTAGCAAGTTTGTATACCCTCTTCTCTCCCTCCTTACTATCTAGTCTAGTGTATAGGTCATCATATACTTTCAACTTGGTCTCTCTCACTACTTTCTTGACCTCCTTATTGGCCAATCTATAGCTCTTAAGGTTTTCCTCAGTTCTATCATTTTGCCACTTTTTAAAGCACTCTTTTTTTGCCTTAACTACCGCTTGAACCTCTTCCCTTCACCACCAAGTTTCCCTAGAACTAGGTCCCGTTTCTTTCGACTCTCCAAGCACTTCTCTTGAGATTTACCTCATACAATTGGCCATCGTGTTCCACATAGTGTTAGCATCACCTTCTAAGTCCCAAGTACCTTCCTTATCCATTCGATTCTTAAATATTTCTAATTTATCCCCTTTTAGGTCCCACCATCTCATCCTACGACGCCCACCATCCTACTTACCAAAATCCTATGTTGAGAGACTAGACTCTCTCCAGGAATCACCTTACAATCATTGCATTTTAGGCGGTCCACTTTTCTCACTAAGAAGTAATCTATTTGACTCTTAACTAATCCACTCTTAAAGGTTATCAAATGCTCCTCCATCTTCTTATACATAGTATTGGCCACCACCAAGTCAGAAGCCAACGCAAAATCTAAGATACTCTCTCCAGCCTCATTTCTGTTATCAAAACCGTATCCACCATGCACCTTTTCATAACCTAGTTTATCTATGTCCACATGGCCGTTAAAATCTCCACCTATAACTAGGTTCTCTCCTATGGGTATTTCCTGTAAGATCTCATCCATTTGCTCCCAAAAATCCCTCTTAGTCTGATCATCTAACCCTACTTGAGGGGCATATGCGCTAATAATGTTCACTATATTCCCTCCAGTAACTAGTTTAACTAGCATAATCCTATCTCATTTTCTAGTGACCGCCACTACACTTTCCACAAGACCCTTGACAATTATGATTCCTACCCCATTCCTGCGTCTATCCTTACCACTATAATATAGTTTAAAACCGGTATCCTCAATTTCCCTAGCTTTCTCTCCCGTCCACTTAGTTTCTTGTATGCAAGCTATACTAACTCTCCTCCTAATCATAACATCTACCAATTCCATCGTCTTACCAGTTAAAGAACAAACAAGCAATGGAAGTGTCTGTATGAGCTAACAACGCAACATGAAGAGATGCTTGCAAGAATGCTTGATACTGAAGAAACTTAGAGTAGTCTGCCTCCAAAACAACCATAGTTTTCTCTGCAGTAGAAGAAAGATGATGAGGGAGAATCTATACGATCGGAAGTCACTCGATTTGCAAACAGAGTAGGCTTGCCAATTAGATCCTAATATTTCTCCTGTGTTTGAGGTAATGATTGTGTCATGTGGTGTAATGATGGAGTCATGTTCAGGCCACAATGAAAACACCCATGGGAACCTTGACCACGTCCCCCACAACTATGACGAAAATTACCACCATCACCACGACTAGCACCTCCTTGGCCACCACTGGAACCAGTATATTGAATACCCTTGGAAGTAACCATGTTAGCAGCTAGACTGAGTATTCTTACCACTAGAATTATGTTGCGAAACTAGGGTAGAACGATCTGGAGTAGGTGCTATAAGACTCTAAGAACTATCCCAAGAGGTAGATGAAAAAACCTAAAATACACCTCAACAAGGGGTGGAATCTCAGCACCAACTGAAACCTGAGACCAAACTGACTCAAATTCAAGTGTTAATCCAATGAGAGATTTCATCACAGCCATTTGTTCTTGCTATTGTTGCATTTTCTGGACATCAATAGTAATCAGGAGAACGACATTCAACTCTTCATGTATCTAGTTGAATGCAGCTAGATAGTCTGTATTCAATTTGTTAACTTGGTGTAATTGGAAGTAATGAATGGACAAATCATACATGCGAGTAAGGTTACTCGAATATAACATGTGTACATAGCAAATGTCCTTACAGAGTATCCAGATGAGTACACATATCAACAACTTGAGGCTCCATAGAATTACGGGTATCTCCTGTAAGATCTCATCCATTTGCTCCCAAAAATCCCTCTTAGTCTGATCATCTAACCCTACTTGAGGGGCGTATGCGCTAATAATGTTCACTATATTCCCTCCAGTAACTAGTTTAACTAGTATAATCCTATCTCATTTTCTAGTGACTGCCACTACACTTTCCACAAGACCCTTGACAATTATGATTCCTACCCCATTCCTGCGTCTATCCTTACCACTATAATATAGTTTAAAACCGGTATCCTCAATTTCCCTAGCTTTCTTTCCCGTCCACTTAGTTTCTTATATGCAAGCTATACTAACTCTCTTTCTAATCATAACATCTACCAATTCAAGCTTTATGATAGCTAAATCCATGCACACATTAGATATCATGGCCTTTGCAATGTTTTTTGTTCCAATTCTTAAGGTTTTGTCATTTGGTTGCAAGAATTGAAGAAGAGGTTTTAAAATTAAAATTGCCAAATTTAAACCAAGTATATTTTCTATTTTTAAGAGAATAATGAACTTTGACATGTGTGGTAAGTCTACGGTGAGACTAAATTAATTCTGGTGCTTTTTTGGGGGTGTTTGTGGAGGACTCTTTTTTGTTGATTGATTTTTCATCAATTTTGGTATTATGCGTGCATATAATTGAGCTTGCGGTTCAGTATCAACTTAGTTGGAATTGTTTCGTTTTGCTATGATGCAATCCTTTGCACTTATCTTTTACTCCCTCCGTCTCAAAATATTAGTCCCTTATTCCATTTTTCATTGTCCCAAAATATTAGTCCCTCTTAAAAAATCAAGTACAAAAATAATGTAAAATTCCTATTTTGCCATTCTTTTAAATTAATAAACAATATAAAAAGTACAATTATGACATTGATATTCTCAAAAAATGTACTATCAAAAGGGTAATTTTGGTAAATTAATTTTTTTCAAATGCAATAATTGTACTACCAAAAAAAGTTGGATTCCCCAAAAGAGACCATTATTTTGGGACGGAGGGAGTAGTTATTTTTTATTATAGTAATATTGGTTTATACATTAATAAAGTTGTTTCTTTTTTTACTACTAAAAGAAAAAAAAAATTGAAAACCTACGGACTGATTTATATTATTCCCCTACATTAATTCTACACCTAGCCACCCCTCAATTAAAGTCTTGATCTTTCAGATCTAAAAAAAAAAGTCTTTATCTTACTCATGAAGCCGCCACCATTTTCCACCCTATTTTCTCTAATTTGGATCCATTGATAAACGACATTTGTCTCACCGTATAACATTTGTTTAGGTGTCCCACACGACAACCTTTCATCCAGTACAAAATTTCTACCATTCTTCTTGTAACTACACGGAATTCGATCAACCGAACATAATCCTTTTATATGGAGTGTTTCTTTTATGATCAGATTCTGTGTACTTAATTTTTTTTTTTATATTTTATGTGCCAATACAAATGTCACAATAATTATATTTATATATTATAAATTTTTTATTATTTTGTGTGTCAACACTGCATTGATAAAAAACATAAATAGTGGAATCTTTTAATGATAAACAATATAATGATAATTATTTTAACATAAATAGTGGAATCTTTTAATGATAAACAATATAATGATAAATATTTTAACAGAGAAATTTATAATGTGCACCTTTTCAAATTGTGCATATCGTAAAAAAATCATAATTTTTTATGATGAACGTTATGACTGTTTATGATGTGTGTTATAACATTTTATAATAAAGTTATGAATAATAAATTTATGATATGCACCCTAAAGTTAGGGATGATAATCTTATGACATTTTGTGATTTTTGTTATGACACTTTGAGATTTTGTTATGACATTTTTCAGTAAAAAAAGGTTATGACTTTTGTAATGAAAAAATTATGACATTTTGTATTTAGGTTATGAAATTTTATGAATAAATTATGAAAAACATACCACGTGCACCTTTTTGAGGGTACACATTGTAACATCTCTCTAATTTTTATGATATATAAATGTGATAACTAGTCCTAACAAAGTTTTTTTTTTTTTTTTACATTTATTTTGTTGATTTTGTTACTCTCTATTTCATCTAAGTTTGCAACACATCATAAAAATTTAAAATCAATTGTTCATGCCTATTACATCATTTTAAGTTTTATACTTCATTTAATCATATTGATTTTATTTTTTTTTATTTTTATTTTTTTACTGATTTGGATTTTTCATAACCGTTGATCAAAAAATCAAGTTTCCCGTTCTTTTCATGAAGTATAATTTTTTTGTCCAATAAGATTTCTATGTTAAATTTTTATAAATTTACAGTCCCATGTTTTAATTTTTTAAATTAAAAAAATCAAATAATGTTATTGTAAGGAATGGGATTACATACAACTCTTTGATTTAGGCAATAGATATTCTTTCTTTTATCTCAATATATTATTAATCATTGAATTATGTCTCAAAATTTTCTATAATCTTTTCACAGAGAATTTTCACCTAAGAGGGTTGTTGTCCCTTTACTTTACTTTAATTATTTTATTTACTTTCCATGGACACATAAAATTTGTTGATTTGGCCTCAAGCCGCCTCACTTTCTTCTTGTTTGGCCCACTTCCTTTATAAACATCTCTTATTCCTCTTCTTCTTCTCCATAAACTTCTTAATGGAGAATTATTCAATGTTCTTCCCTTGTGCATCGACTCTTCCACAATCTTCTTCTTTCTCATCAAAGACAGCAAGTTCTTCTAGTGTTCCTAATGATCTTTACAATAAGAATCCCACTGGTTTCTTGGGGTTAAGTATGGAGATGCATCTTCCAACATCATCAGAGGTCAAACATGTTTCTAACAGTAGTGCAAACTTTGTGGTGTCTGGAAATGAAGAAAATTTGGGTAAGAAGAAGGGTGAGAAGAAAATTAGGAAGCCCAGATTTGCTTTTCAAACAAGGACCCAAGTTGATATACTTGACGATGGTTATCGGTGGAGAAAATATGGTCAAAAAGCTGTGAAAAACAACAAATTTCCAAGGTCAGTTGAATTTACATTTTTAGCTTCTCAGATTAACCGGTCTTTTTGTGTTTTGTTTTTTGGTTTTTTCTATCGCAAATGTGATCATGATGCTCATTACATTTGATATCGGTGCAAAGAAGGTAATTATAAACAGCAGATTTCCAAGGTCATATGAGTTGAACATGAATTTTATTCTTTGATTCCAAGATTAACTGACCTTTATATCATTATATGGTGGGTAATTTGATCTTGATGACCCCACCAAGTAATCTTATCAATCCGACTTTGTTGGAAAGAAAACTCCCATTTCAGATCTAATAAAGCCTTTTTTGAGGATAAGCAAAAGGGTTTAGTGCAATTATTCCTTTCAGACTAGGGTTGTGGATATATATTTGATATTAATGCATGCATGCGTGCTTAGCTTGTTAAGAGATGATTACATGATGGATCAGAGTGATGTGCATCTTTGATATCCCAATACTTCTGATCTAGGGTTTCCTTTTTTAGCTGAGAAAGTGGAGTTCAGTACTTCAAGGTTGGTCTTTTTGTTTATTATGGCACAGTCACTACATTTATTGATCATTTTATTGCAGTTCAACACTAGATCAAAGACAAACTTTACATAATGACCCAAATTAAAGATCTTAGGTGTTATCTGTTGATCTAAGGATATTATTCAGATTGAATTTGTGTTCAAGCAGCAAGGATATATCCCAATTAGATTGAGACACCCTTCACAAATCCCATTGTAACAGCTCTAGTAGCACAAAGCAGCAATTACAATTTATAACAGCACATGAGGTAAAAACACATTAACCACATGACCCATCAGCAGCTTAGCATCAAACCCTTCACAACCCTTGATTCTCAAAAACACTTTGCCTTACCTCAATGCAAAATAAGTAGCATAAAAAATATGAGTAGAAGGTAAGTGTTTTTTTTTTTTTTTGTCTGGTGTTTGTTGGTAATATGCTTCTGATAGAGAGATGGATTTGTTGTTTTGTTGGAGCTTGTGTTGATAAAAAGTGGTATTTTGCTGGTATTTGTTTCTGTGTTTCCCATGGCTAGGCATTTTCAGTCATAATGAAGGATCCCTTTTCTGTTTTTGAATTGTATTTTGGTGTTCCTTTCTTCTTCTTTCTTTTCCTTTTCTTTTGTTATGAGTTAGCATACTTGCCTCTACTTGCCAACCTGGTCGGAATGTGGAGGTTAAGCCATGATATTTTTTGCACCTCTCTTTTCTTCTCTGTTGATGTCTCCCAGTTAAACTTTGTACATTTCATTTTATATCAATGGATTTTATTTTGCTGATTAAATTTTATTTTGCTGATTAAAAAAAAAAAAAATTTAACCATGAAACCAAACATTGGTACTTGAAGTCATCATGGATATGTACATTAATCAGTACCCCTTAGTTCAAAATAGCCATGCATACTCTCCCCGTATGACTTTAATCATCAAATACATCAGATGATCGTTCTTGTAATTTCAATCAGGTCATCAACTAAACCACGAACATTATTATGATAATTTCCATATTTATATTTTTGATCCATATTCTGATTGAATAAGTGCATGCATGAATGATGAACCCTATTGTTCTTTTTTTTTTTGGGCAGAAGCTACTATCGGTGTACTCATAAAGGGTGCAATGTGAAGAAGCAAGTTCAACGGCAGTCCAAAGATGAATGTGTTGTAGTAACGACTTATGAAGGGGTTCACACACATCCGATAGAGAAGCCTTCTGATAATTTCGAACAAATCTTGAGTCAGATGCATATTTATCCTCACCCTTTTAATTAAGAATTTTATTAACGTGTGTCATTAATGCAAATGTTAAGAAATTTAAAAAGATTATATATTTTGCGTGAAAATATGTGCAATAAAAAATGTATAATCTTTTTAAGTTATCGTAAGCTTTTGAAGCATACATTAACAAGACCTATTAAGTATTTAAGTGTTCAAATATACTTATGAAAATACGGATAGTTCTACTAAGGATATAAAGATCTGTTAGTAGTAATCGAAGGACCATTTTGCACTTGAAGTCTCCAATTATGCATTTATAGCTCATTCATGTTAGCTTGACCTATTTCCTATGATGTTGGTTAGACAGGTATTGTTTTAACACAAAATTTATATAGAATTTATGTCTAGGTTATTTTTTGTTGGTTATATCCACCGAGATGGTTGATGTTGCTATTCATTCAAAAAATTTATACAAAATACTAAATAAAAATGATGTATCCACCACATCATTAACTATAATTTTTATGTTTGTATGTTATTAATTAGCATTACTCTTAGCATTTCTTAGGTTGTCGTCAAACCTAAAGAAGCTCACCTCGTTTGTTTAAAAGAATGATTTTTAGAAGATCCTTCAATATTCTTTCAAATACATAATGGGGCTCCAAAATTGTTAGAAGTACATATATTTTAATAGATCAATAAAGGAAGCCGAAAATAAGCACAAGAGTGTTGTGTTGTGAGAGGCACATTTTATTAGAGCATTGCAAGACTTGGGGTTGAAAAAAAAAAACAGAAAGTAGAAAATTTGGGGTGTTGTTTATAAATAATACTTATTCAGAATAATAGTTAGTATTTTTTTGTTTTTGTTTTGTGTAATTGTAAGTCACAATAATGGATGTTTTAACTTGAAAAGAAATAATTATGAAACGACACATCATGCTGTATAAAATTTTTGTACAAAAATTATGTTTATATACCATTATTTAACTATTGATCTCCATACTAAACTACAAACTTTCAACCCATTACTTTTTCAATAATGCTAGTTGCACAAAACTAAAATAAATAATGCACAAATAAATTTTAAGTGTAATGTAGGTCATATTTAAAATAAATCTCAAATATTTTTTGTAAACATTATGTATTCTAATTTTGTGCACGGACACAGGAACAGACTCTAGTTACTTTGATATCACTTGCATATTCCAATATAAATTGCTTTTTCGGTGATGAGCGAAGCAATGAAAGCATATAACTACTTGTTTGTTTATCTGCTATATATATATACATATATATTGTTAGTGTACCGCTCTGGAAAATAAATTTGTGGGTGCCATGTTGAATACAATGGAGGGCGAATTATACTAACAGTTTCTATAGTTTAGGTTTTGTGTTACTTTGGTTATTCAGTTTTTAATTGTGACACATTTGACTCTGAACGACGAAAGTTCCACCAGGAAGACAAATACAGAACTTGGAGCTTCAGCAATGGCGGATTTGAAAGAAAGAGTTTTTAGAGAGAGAAGAAAGTAAGTGAAACAAAGCACAAAGTGAAAAGACGAAAGCAAAAATAGTGTCTTTGTTGAAAATGTGAAACGACGGCAAAATAAGGCATTTATTGCGCCTGGAAAACCGCATGCGTCAGACGGCGCAGACAGATTAAGATGGCTTACGAGCGCGTCACAGGCACGGGCCAGTAAAGATGAAACGTGTGCAGGAAACGGTTGAGAAGTGATGCATGACAGCTCATGCGCGTGGGGAAGTTCATTTGAATTCTTGTTCTTGAAAACAAGACATATCGGCTTGACATAAATGATCTCGGCCGAAGAGTTCTTACGCCAAGGTACTAGAGGACAATACAGATATAGGTTCCATCACTTCAGAAATGCCGAGGTAATAGAACCTAGGGGGCAGTTGTGGGGATGTATTTTCTGAATACCAACACGTGGCAAGGTGATGCCGACGTGTCAGCCGAGGTGCCACGTATCCTGGTTGTGACGCTCTGGTTATCTCGGCAAGGCTGAGGTGATCTCCGAAGATATCGGAATCCGAGATAAGCGGATAAGGGACAAGAGTCCTGGAGTAAAGAGAATATTTAGCCAAGATAAGGATAAAACTCTCAGAGAGTTTATCTTTATCTCTTGAGAAATCCAAAGTAAGCACTGAATGGGAGTCCATAGAAGTCAGGCTTCTAGTGAGACTAGGATTGAGTTAGCTATAAAAGAGAGGCACCCCAGTGGGTCTAAGGTACGCAATTTATGTTTTGAGAAATAAGTTTAGCACTTGATTATCTTTGAGAGATATACTGACTTGATCGTCGGAGTGCCCCCGGGTGGAAGAACCACCGCCGGAGCCTTTTCTTTCTATTACAGGTTTGCTGAAGCCATCTATTTTGCCGGTGCTCTCCAGCTGATTACTAGGCGGGCAGTGTGGTCAGAAAATTACCCACACAATTTGGCGCCGTCTATGGGAATCTTAGAAGAATAGATGGCCAGTAACGAACAGAGGGAAAAAATTGGAGGCGACACTCTTGCTGGGAGTGGCAGACCAATTGACCTTGATGTTGAAGGAAATAACCACAATACAGAAACTCATGACCAGAGCCACAGAGAAAAAGACGTCGGCCAGGAGGGCGGTACTTCGAAGCAAACAGACCAAAGCAAGTACTATCACGAAGACAACCTTCACGTATGGAGGGAAAGGTGCCTACGAAGAGATGAGGAAGTAAAAGAATTGGCGAACAAGTTGGCAGACCTTCAGTCGGTCGTTAACTTCATGATGCAAAACAATGTCATGCAGCCACCATACCCGTTGTAGGATACGCCGATGCCCGCAACTAACACCCAGAAGGGAAGAAGAAGAACAATCCCCGAAGTCCCTCAGCACACCAAGAGTGGAAGGCACTTTCACCGACCTTCCAGGGAAGTCGGACGAGAGGAGCTGAGGCAAGAAGAGTCCCGAAGGACATATCACATGAAGGATCCGGGGCAGAAAGAACATCGGCATGTTCAAGGGCAAGCACTCTGCTTTGACACAACCTATGGGGAAAGATCGAAACGGACCCACCACGAGGCCGAAAGTGGTGTGCCAAAAAGATTGAAGTCCAGAGATAGCCGAGCTCCAAGTAGGAGTAAAGAAGACTTAAGGGATTACCTCAAAAGGAAGCAACAAAATGTTGAAGCCGAGGTAACTTCCCCAGTTAAGCCGAGAACACCATTCTCGGTGGAACTGGACAAATTTGAAGCGCCGAAGAGATTTAGTATGCTGAGGTTCCAAATTTATGATGGTAAGTCTGATCCCAACTTTCATGTTGGACTATACCTGAATTCAATGGCATTATATAGTGGGAACGAGCCATTGCTCTGCAAAGTATTCCCCTCATCCTTTGGGAAAATTGCATCCGATTGGTTCCATAAACTACCAAAGGGAAGTGTAAAGACGTGGGAAGGCCTGGCCGAGATGTTTGTGGCCAGGTTTGTGACGAAAAAACTACAGCCCTTGAGGGTCGATGCCTTGATGGCTTTAAGAATCACCAAGGAAGAAGGCCTTAGGGCCTACGCGAAGAGATACTACGAGGTGTTCAATCGAATACCCGAATGCAACCAAGAAGTGGCGGTCGTGTCTTTCAAGAACGGCCTGAAAGATGACTGCCCACTACGGAAGTCTTTGGCAAAAACATTGCCAAAAAGCATGGAAGAACTCATGGCGAGAATCGAGAAGTACGCCAGAGCTGAGGAAGATATGTCGGGAAACAAAGAGATAAAGCAGGAGAAGGGAAACGGCTCGCCGAAGCGCGGCAGAGGTAACAACGGGCCGACCAAACAAGAAACAGAATTGAAGGGAAAACAGGCAGTAACGACGGTGTTCCGAATCCCTATCCATAAAGTCCTGGATCAAATACGAAACCAACCCTATTTCAGGGCACCGGCAAGAGCACCAGGGGAATTCATGGGAATAAACGTTGGTAGGCGTTGTGCTTACCACAATGATGAAGGGCACCCAACTCAGGGTTGCAGAGCCCTAAAAGCACACTTAGAAGACTTGGTAAGGCAAGGCCATCTAAGGGACCTTGTTGATGAGGCCAGGACAAGAGAAGAACAGGCAAGATTGCCTCAAGCACCAGCAGCACCGCCTCCCCCAGCACAGCAACCACAGGCAGAAGGACCACGGGTGGTTAATGTAATCCACTCATAGGTGAACGAAAGCGACATTCGGGGAGAAACCCAAAGAGTAAAACACCTGCAGCACGTGAACCAGGTCGGACACAAAAGACCTCGGCCTGAAGAGTGCCAAGGACCGATGATAGCCTTTACTGAAGCTGACCTAGAGATGGTCCAGCATCCGCATAATGATGCCTTGGGAGTATCCCTCCATGTTGGGGAGTGCCAAGAGAAACGCATCCTAATAGATTAAGGTAGCTCTTGTGACATCATGTACGTTAGATGTTACAAGGAACTAGGCCTTCACCCAGACGACATGGAGCAATCGAATGGCCCGATGGTCGGCTTCAATGGAACGACGACATGGCCACTGGGCGCAACAAGCTTGGAAGTACAAGTTGGCACTAAGAAGATCAGGACAGAATTCATGGTGATTGACACACCTTCACCATATAATATCATCTTGGGAAGACCATGGTTGCATGCAATGGGGGCAGTTCCCTCAACATTGCATCAACTACTGCGGTTCCCAACAGAGCATGGGATTGAAGAAGTCAGAGGAGATCAACTGCAGGCAAAAAGTTGCTCCATGGCAGCAATGAAGTCTACTTGCAGCGTTCGAAAGCCAAAAGAGGCAGAAATTGAAAATGAGGACATGGAAGTACTAGAAGACATCGGCAAAGAACCAGCCGAGAAGAGCGAAGAGACACTAAAGAAAATCCTTGTCCAGGAGGGCGACGAAGAGCGCTTCTTTCTTCTCGGCTCAGGCTTAGCCGAAGAAGAGGAAAGAGAACTGGAAGGTTTCTTGAGAACAAACATAGAGGTGTTTGCCTGGACACCTTACGAAATGCCTGGCATTGACCCCGAGGTCACTTGTCACAGGCTGAATGTCGACAGGTCGGCAAAACCTGTGATTCAACGAGCCAAAAGACCGACGTTGATGCACGTCGAAGCAGTAGAAGAAGAAGTAGATAGACTTCTGGAGGCCAGGGCCATCCGAGAAGTTCACTACCCAACATGGTTGTCCAACACAGTAGTGGTGAAGAAGAAGAAGAAGAACGGAAAATGGAGGGTTTGTGTAGACTTTACCAGCCTCAACAAAGCCTGCCCCAAAGACAGCTTTCCTCTACCCAAGATTGACCAGCTCGTA